AAATGCTTTCCATTCTTGGCAAGCATTAGGGGGCGTGAAATCTTCAGTTGTCCCTGGGCGCTGAAAGCCCTAGCTACGACTCTGCTTACAAATATATAGTATGTACTTGTTATTTAAATAAATTTCTTTTCTTTAATGACTTAAGTATGATCCCAATAAATGGAAGGTTATAAAAACAAAAAGTAGAATTAGTAATTAGCTCACCAGCGACCGAGCGGTAAAGTCGCTGAACACTGGTAGTTCGGTCCGAGGTTCGAATCCCGCGAACGGGCTGGCTGCATGGGCGTTTTCGTGGTTTTCCCCATGTGTAACGTGTATACGAGCCAGTTTCCCTTAGAAAGTTCTCCACGAAGGCATCCCTCCCCTTAGGCAGATAGCCCTTGAGGCTTTGCCATAATCACACACACACATAATAGAATTAGTAATTATATGAATTTAGCTAAAAACTACTATTTAAACATAACTCTTTATGGGCAGATCTAAAAATTTATGTCACAAAATGGGATAAAACATTTTTTTTAAAATTATTCATAGCGTCAAAGAAGCTAAATACATAATTAATCATATCTAGTAAATACAAAGCAGAATTTTTTCATTGGGTGTCTACTATATCAAACAGAAAACAAGCTGTATTTCTCCTTGTTTTTTCAGCATCTATTAAATAATTAAATGTAATTATTTATGATTCATTGATTTTCATTTTAATGGTAAGACTATTTGGAAGTAATTAGTTTTGACTATTTATATGATAAGTTTTTTTTAAAGAAGTGAGAGATTTACCATTTCAAAATTAACCAAATATCATTTGATATTTCTATGCAGAATTTTTTAATGTCATCTCTTAAAATTATCATGTTGTGTATGAGTTAATATGTCTTAGATCCAAATCTTATTTTCGTATTAAGAATTAAGTTAAAAAAAAATTATATTTAGATCTCTTCTTAGTTGAATATTTGATTATATACCAAGAAAATATTTAGAAAGTTGGATTCTTTCGCCTCTAAGACTTTGAATAAATGGAGATATAAAATAAAAAGATTTGAATCAATTCGAATTTTAAAAGACGGTGACTAACAGGTAAGATCTGCATGTTTTGCTAGGCGAGGAATGTTTTACTTAACATAATTATTTGCTCTTTCAAACAAAAACCTTCTCAGAGGAAAAAAGTTTATCACTGCGAGATAAACTCGAAAAACTAGTTTGTATGAAAAGCAATTTATGCTGGAATGGCTCATAGTATTTTCCGGCAATAATTTTTTTGGCCTTGATTCTGGTTTTGAGTTGCCCTTGTTAAGAAATGGTAACCGGAAGGCGAACAAGAGAATACGGAATACCTCCTTGCAAGAGAATACAAGCGTCTAGCCCCTCAGACGCTAGTTTCCTCCCTGAACATCTGCACAGATTACTGCGCATGTCGTCATTTTCTTGAAGGCGCCTCATATTTACTATTATTTACTCTGCTCTTTGACTGCTGTGGTAACGTGTGATCGCTGATGCAGTTCTCTTTTTTATTTTGCTTCGATTATTATATCTTCTGCACAAAATCAAGTAAAAATGCCCATTTCAGGGCCAAGTACTTCTGTTTCCTCAGAAGGTATTTTTGATTCTAAATCGAATCAAAATCAGGAAGGAGTAACCGTGTGCGATAATTCCAATGTGTGATAATTATGATTGTGTTGTGAGTGATATGGTTCATTGTGCAAATGATTTTAGTATAGCTGAGAGTGATTTTGTTTGCAGTGATTGCTTAAAACTTTCAACTGTAGATACAATTTGAAACGCCATGCATATAAATTTCTTTACAATAATACTACATTAATTGAGTCTCTGAAAACTAAGTTCTAATAGTATGGTTGATTGTGTAAATAATTTTAGTGTGGCTGAGAGTAATTTTGTATTCTCTGATTGCTTAAAAAGTACGAAAATAAATGCAGTTTGAAATGCCATACCAACACATTACACTCCAATAATACTACATTATTGATTCTTTAAAAAGTGGTCGATCACCAAGCTACAAATGTGAGGACTGCTATCTGAAATTTAGTGACCTAAAAATTGGAAATATCATCAAAATAAAATTCATACTTCTAACAGATAATTATGTGTGTCCTGTATGTTATGCTAATTTTAAAATGCGAGAAATAATATTTCATTTCAATAATGTTCATGATGTTGATTTGCATCATACTGAGCTAGAATTTAATTCATTTGATGATTTTTTGGCATGGAAGGCAGAAATTGAAAATAATATGAAGTCAAAATTTCTTATGGAGTAAGCATATTTAATATACATGGTGTAATGCCACTGTTCAGGAAATTTTATATCAGAAAGTAAAGGTTTACGTCACTTAAAAACCCTTGATAGCAATAAAATAAATGCATATTGCCCAGCTGCATTAAAAGTAACAGAACATACAGATGGCAAATGTGTAGTGTCATAACAGAAAAATAGGGCCCACCAGTTGGCCGAGCGGTAAAGTCGCTGAACACTGGTAGTTCGATCGAGGTTCGAATCCCGCGAACGGACTGGCTGCATGGGCGTTTTCGTGGTTTTTCCCATGTGTAATGTGTATACGAGCCAGTTTCCCTTAGAAAGTGCCGTAAAATCCTAGTATACGGTGCAGTCTTGGCGCGACTTGGCGAAAATTATCGCCAACACCAAAAACGATCCAAGGAACGTCTATATATATATACTATACACACATAGTATATATACTATATACATAGTATCTACTATGTTTAACTGTATATTTTCTTGGAATGATCCGTTAACTACTCATCGTATATGTCCCATTTTCACTGCTCATCATAAAGTCGCCAAATCCCGTGTGCACCGGATACTAGGATTAAACCGAAAGCGCTCCACGAAGGCATCCCTCCCCTTAGGCAGATAGCCCTCGAGGCTTTGCCATAATCTCTCACACACACACATATCAGAAAATACATATTGGGCATCGGAATGATTTAGGTCACTTATTTTTAACAACAGATGAAATAAAAAATATTGCATCAAAGATAGCAGCAAAAATTTCTCTGGATAATATTTTAGATGAAATTAGAAATTCTCTATGAGATGCTGGGCTTGAGAGGGTTCATTTCTTACAAACAAATTTACATAACATCAAAAAATCTTTCAATTTGTCTTCTAGTTCTGTTAAACATGAAAATGATTGGGTTTGTGTAGATACGTGGGTACCTGAAATGCAAAATTCCGAACATCCATGCATTTCATTTTATAAAACCCGGGGATCAACATAGCTTGAGTGAATATTGTACACAATATTCATTTCTAAAAGGAAATGATTTTGTTTTGATAATGATGACAGAACACAAAGAGAGATACTGAAAAAATTTAGTTCTCACTTGTACATGTATTGATGGTACACATGGGGTGAATGCATACAGATTTGAACTCATAACTTTACTTACAATAGATGATTTGTGCCTAGGATTCCCGTGTGCATTTTTAATTTCTAATCCATGTGATCAGCCAGTGCTATCACTTTTTTTCGTGTATTAAAGAAAATGTTGGGCAAATACAACCACAAATATTTATGTCTGAAATGGGTTTACTACAGATACGTCTTTTTTTTGTGCATGGCATATTGATAGAGCCTGAACAAACAATTAAAAAAAAAAAAAGAAAATCAACAAAAAATAGAATTAGTAATTATATGAATTTAGCAAAAAACTACTATTTAAACATAACTCTTTATGGGCAGATCTAAAAATTTATGTCACAAAATGGGATAAAACATTTTTTTTTTTTTTAAATTATTCATAGCGTCAAAGAAGCTAAATACATAATTAATCATATCTAGTAAATACAAAGCAGAATTTTTCATTGGGTGTCTACTATATCAAACAGAAAACGAGCTGTATTTCTCCTTGTTATTTTTCAGCATATATTAAATAATTAAAATGTAATTATTTATGATTCATTGATTTTCATTTTAAATGGTAAGACTATTTGGAAGTAATTAGTTTTTGACTATTTATATGATAAGTTTTTTTAAAGAAGTGAGAGATTTACCATTTCAAAATTAACCAAATATCATTTGATATTTCTATGCAGAATTTTTTTAATGTGCATCTCTTAAAATTATCATGTTGTGTATGAGTTAATATGTCTTAGATCCAAATCTTATTTTCGTATTAAGAATTAAGTTAAAAAAAATTATATTTAGATCTCTTCTTAGTATTGAATATTTGATTATATACCAAGAAAAATATTTAGAAAGTTGGATTCTTTCGCCTCATAATGACTTTGAATAAATGGAGATATAAAATAAAAAGATTTGAATCAATTCGAATTTTAAAATATGGTGACTAACAGGTAAGATCTGCATGTTTTGCTAGGCGAGGAATGTTTTACTTAACATAATTATTTGCTCTTTCAAAACGAAACCTTCTCAGAGGAAAAGAAGTTTATCACTGCGAGATAAACGTCGAAAAACTAGTTTGTATGAAAAGCGATTTATTGCTGGAATGCGCCTCATAGTATTTCTCCGGCAATAATTTTTTTGGCCTTGATTCTGGTTTTGAGTTGCCCTTGTTACGAAATGGTAACCGGAAGGCGAACAAGAGAATAAGGAATACCTCCTTGCAAGAGAATAAATTTTTGTTGCCAATTGAAAATGTATAAAACGTTATGCGTTTGCCTCTGTATTTTTAAATTGTTTTAAACGCTAAGTCTTTTTTCTTTTTTGAGAAAAAAATGTGAAAGTGATTCAGAAAATATTCGTAATTTGAGTAGATTTTTAATATTTAAAACAAGAATAAAGGCAAATCTAAAATTGCATATTTTTAAATATAAAGAATTCCAAAATCGTTTTAACAAGCGAATAGTATTCTTTTTTCACGCTAGGCATCGTGTGTGAGTTTTAAGAGCGGGAAATAAAGAGTGGCTTCCTATTGGAAGAGGAATCCTGTGCTCGAATGCCATTGGGTAAAAGTGTTCACGTGATCGATAGCTATATATACATTGTCATGCTGGCTTTCGCGCCAGAAAGGTAGTGAGTTTCATGTTGTGAAGGCAAGCGTACGAGTGCTATTTAGGAGTTCTAGAGAATTACTTAATTATTTCGAATTTAATTACATTTAATTAATACAATTATTAATTATTTTATATTTTGCTGTTAATTCTTCGTGATATTTATTCCACATCATCATTAAATATGCCAGCTACTCGTTCAAGAACAAGCAGGTAAGTCTTTTGTCTTCGAATCCACCGGCACCATTATTCCTGGAATCTCTCATCTAAAATCATCTTTAATTTTCGAAGTGCAATACATTTGAGTGAATTTTCTGAAGTTAAACTAAAAGTCGTGTACTTTGGTATTTATGTGAATTCCAGGAAATTGGGGGAAAAAAGTTTTGTATAAACCATTTTCGTACGTTGGGAAATGCGTGGTAATAGAATTCTTTCTGACCTCCATATTTGCTAAGGTTACGAATTCGTATTCTATGATTTTGCCTAGTTCTAGAATTAATTCTTTTATGTATTTATCTGTTTCTCTTGTAAATTTTTTTTTTTTCCTCTTTATGTAGTGCTGAAGTTGCTTCAGAAGTGAGTAAAGATAGCCCTAAGAAGGAAGTCAAAACCGATACCCCAGTGGAAGAATCTCTGAAGGCTGAAAAAGCGGTAAGAAAGCAATTTCATTGCGAATTTTATTAATTACATTGAATATCATGCATCTTGAGAATATTTTTTAGAATTTCCAAAAATGCAATAATTTACTCTGCTAATTCTAAAGTACAGTGTAGAGTTAAATGATTTATATAATGCAAATTGAAGAAATTTTTCGAAATTAAACTCTTTAATTTTTAATATTTTCTTTCCATTCTGTTTATAAAATGTACTAGGATTTAATGCTGTTTTAAAAATATATATTGAAATTCCCTTATGTAACAATAGAATAAAACAAAATTGTTTTGTTCTATTGTTACATTTTATCTATTCCATTGTCTTTTATATTTGGTCTGCATATGTCAATATAATTTGCATTTTAATTTCCTCATAAAGGTGGATGATGGGAATAAAGTTGAAGCAGATTCTAGTGTAGAAACTAAAGGACAGGAAGAAAATGGAAATAAAGACCAGTCTGAAGAAAAAGTTGATGGAGAAGAAAAAAGTGTTGAAAATGGTGGTAAGGCACTTTTAAAGTTTACCAAGTTTGATTTGAATTGGAAGTTTTTATAAACCTTAATTTTAGTGGAGTCTAGAGAATCATGTATGTGTAGTTGCTGCATTAGTTTTAAGATTGTTGTAAGATGCCAATAACCTCTGCAGTTTCAGAGGATAAAAATGAAATATCTTTGATTTTTTTCTTTTAAAATATTTAAATTCTTGGAGAAATTCTGTTTGTAGTGGTAAGTTTCAGACAAGCTTTTTAATTAAATATAAAGGAAAATTACATTAAGAATATTTTCCTAATTGAACAGATCTCAATCATAAGTTCCAATAATATTGGTGTTTTAGATTGCTTGTGAAAGCTGATTTTAAAATTTAAGAACGCAACTGTATTTCTGAAGTTGACTCATTAAATTGTTGAAATGCACTACATATGCATGCAATTTTTAAAATTTTATTTATTATATGCAAATATGATTAAAACTTGTGTAGCTTGTAAGATAATTAAAAGTGTCAAGTATTATGTAAGTTAATAATTGGTAATCAAGTGCTATGTAGTATATATTGACTGCTTTTCTTTACCTTGGTCAATCATTTTAATCTTAATGTGCACAAGAAGCTGATATTGTTCCGGAGAATCCTTGAATTCAAAACTGCTCTAGACTGAGAAGTCTTTACTTGTGTCTACTCATTATTCCTTATCCATATAGTTCATTTCTTAGCAGAAAGGGGGGTTTAGGTGAGTGTGTGTGTGCATTTGAAAATGTGTCATCACTGTGGACTGTCTTCATAAGCTTGCATTAAACAGGCAGACTTTGCTGGCGACAACATACAGTATATGCATAAAAAATGTTAATTACAATATTAGGTCTAAGAATTGTATTTCGAAAGCATAAACAGGCTTTTCATCCGCAGAGAACCCGTTGGCGGCGTTGCATTTTTACTCGCCAAGCTCGCGGTTCATAGACAATGAGCCGAGCCGCAAACATGATTTTTAGTGCATGCAAATTCAAGTTAGCAGAGACAAAACAATATATTAAGCATATGGTAGTAAAAATTCACAGAGAATAAGCATGTAGATGTCAAACTAACTGGTTAAACGTGATAAACGAAAATAAATTTGTATTAAATTCAAGTTGGCACAGAAAAGAATATATTAAGCATAAGACAATATATAAGCATTTATAACGGAAATAAAAATTCATTTAAAAAATATAAATTAGTATTAATGTACTGAAATTAAATGTGATAAATGGAAATTCCATTTAACACAGAAAACAATATATTCCTTACACTAGCAGTGGTTTGCTAATTTTGATGACCATCGTGATGCATCAAACTACTCTGTCATCTTAGATAATCAATAATATTTTTTATTTCAATTTAATCATGTATTTCTCACACCTGCCATCCTCTGAAAGGTTATTGTTAGAAAAGCATTTAACAATATATTGTCTTGTTATAATTTTACGCCAGAAAAATTGGATTTATTCTCATAATTTTAGATGGCAATAATAAAAATAAAAGCATTATTTATTTAAATTGCTGGTTCTTAGAGTTGTTAATAATTAAAAACACAACGTGAACCAGCCGTGTTACAAATTAGCATTCACCCCTCCTGAACCTAGAACCCGCATCTATCTACGAAAATATTTCTATCTATTCATTGTTAAAAAATTCAGAAAAAAATAATAAAGAAGAGAAGAATAATATAAATCTGCAAATGCAAACAACGACTAATGCTTGCAAACTTTGAACAAGGGAATAAGATAAATCTGCTGGGTTACCAGGTTTGAACTATTATCGCCAAAGTTGGCGATGTTTACATTTACCGGGTTCTCTGTAGAAGTGCTTCCCATAAACATTTTAATATGGTTTAAAATCTGGAAGAAAAAAAAAAGCCAGTAAATGACAATTAAGAAGATACTATGCTTTTATGGTTCAACATCTTGATTCGCCGGTTCACATCACATGACCCAAAGTGGTCTCATCTCACGTAAACTAAGGTACAAAAATCTAATTTTCTCAGTAACATTAATTTCAAGTTAAATCTTAATTTGGAAGTTTAAATGCAAGAATTATTTCAATTTGTACGAATAGATTACTCAAAAATTATGTAAAAGTGTGCAAAAATTATGTGCAGTTCTTTACTTCGCTAGTGCATTCTCATTAAAATTTGTGAATTGAACTCTTGACTTTATAATTACGGGCGAGTGATGTGATTGCATCCTAATTGACTTAATTACCGCCTGCAAATGCCTTAGGACATAAAATTGAACTACCTGGTAAAAATCCTATGTAATTGTATGCCAGTATTACGATTAATCTGATAAGAAATGGCTGCGATTTGTTTTGAAAATGACGCGTGAAAGGTTACAAGTGAGGATATTCTCTTTGGCATCAGTTGTACCATTCTTGGCGACTTTTCGTTTGCACTGGCGAAAGTACCGATTCTAGTTATTCTTCATATAGCTACTGCAGTATTACTAGCTTTTTTTTGATTCAGTAAAACTGATTAAGTATAATTTTTAATGTAATTGTAAGTATATTGTTGAGTAACAAATTTTCACATTTCTGTTATCGGGTCCAGATTCAGAAATGCATGTACAAACACGTACATGCATGCATACTTATATTTTTTAATCCAGTTCCGATAAAAGAATCTTTTAGTGTTACTATCATCCTTTATGTGTAAGAGTAAAGTTATTAAAAGTGCAGAGTGCAACGTATTGAAATGTCTGTCGTTTTACTCAAGGTAATTGTTAGTTTTGTAGGAAGTAATAGATTAATTATGTAATAATATTTTGATACTTGAATGTTACTAAAAGGTAGCTGGGTTGCAAATGGCCAAATCTGGCAACTATCCATTGTTATTAAAATTATGCCAAGCTGTGAAATCTATTAGGGTAGATTTGTTAAACTTTCTGAATTCATTAATAGATTTTGATGTAAATATAAATCAATCAAAGTTATTAAAAGTGCAGAGTGCAACGTATTGAAATGTCTGTCGTTTTACTCAAGGTAATTGTTAGTTTTGTAGGAAGTAGTAGATTAATTATGTAATAATATTTTGATACTTGAATGTTACTAAAAGGTAGCTGGGTTGCAAATGGCCAAATCTGGCAACTACCCATTGTTATTAAAATTATGCCAAGCTGTGAAATCTATTAGGGTAGATTTGTTAAACTTTCTGAATTCATTAATAGATTTTGATGTAAATATAAATCAATCAAAAGTAATTGTTAGATGCAAATATACTGTATGTGATAAAACACGTTGAAATTAATGAATCATTTTTATCTTCATTGTATTGTTACTTTTTTTTGTATAGTTATGGACAAATATGGTTTTTACTATTTGGTTTTTGGCCTATTTAAGAGATATCAATATCTTTACATTTGTTTTATTTCGCTTAGTTTCAACTGTAAATTTAAGATCCAGTTTTAGTTGTGTATTTACTTTTCAAATATAATATGGAAGAAAATCCTTGCTCGTACAAATAGGTTGTGCAAAAAGAAAATTTAATTTTTTTGAAATGTTTTCAAGTTCCCTTTTTTTTTCCCAGCCAAAAGGTAACAAATGTATTATTTTTTAGATCTTCAGTTAGAGTTTGATCATAGGAAATTTCAAGCAATTGTTCTTTTTCTTCCCGAGATAAAATTTCGGGTAGATTTAAACAAAATGGCTTTCTGATCTAATTTTCGTTTTCATAATCCTTGGGAAAATGCATTTTGAAATTATTCGTCAATGAAAAACAGTGATTTTTAATGTCGTATCCTAATTCTTTATTTTCAAATTAGTTTCGGTTAGAAAACTTCCAAGAAGTGGTTTTTAAAAAGCTTAAAATATTATCTTATGCTTTGCTTATTAGCTTTTTTATCATTCCATTTATTTTATTCAAGGTCTAATGGTTAACAAATTAACATTTTATCCTTGTAATCCTAAATTTAATTCATTTAGTTTTCCAAAAATATCAGCTAAATATGCTAAAGGCTCCAACTGTAATTCGCGACAGTTCATTTATCTTCTTTGAAACATATGTAAACTAATAATTGAATAAAGTTTATTATCAGTTCTTTTATTCAATTGCAATGGGAAATATATGCCGTGTTTTATTTTTCGAATAAATGCCTTTTATCGAATTTGTCGTTTCATGAATTCGGCGACTGGTGTAATTTGATAACAGGGTATTATTAAGTTCATTAGCCGCCGCTTCATTGAAAATGTTAATCTTTAGCTGCTGGTAATATGAGGCTTTCTCCAACAGTGCGAGCCTGCCCAGTCTCTGCAATTCTTGGGCTTATTCCGTAACTAGCTTCCAAAGCTTTTTCACTTCAAGTAACAGAATCTTTCACTACATGTTTACAATAATTTCCCCAGGAAATATTCTTAAGATTAACTCTAGAACGGTGATAGGGTCATTTTGACTCCTGAACACTTAAAAATTCAGTTCTCTAGGTTTGTTAGTTTTTGAAATATTGGCATTTATTCCTAGAACGGTGGACAGGGATAATTTTGACCCCTTTACATTTATTCTTTCTGCTCGAGGCATTGTCAAATAACCCATGAAAAACATTCACTGGTAGGATTTTTCGATTGCATTCATATTAACTCCCAGAGGGATAAAAACCTGGGTTTGTCTCACTACTCTGTAATGCCTACATAAGTTGTTCCTTTGTTTGCAATTATTTATTCATTTGAAGAAAATACTGCAAGGATGGGATAAATGCAGGGTTTTTCATGCTTACATTTCTTTTCAGAAATAGTTAATTTTACAGATGTATTTTCCAGTTTGTTAGTTCAGCTTACTGCAGATGATAACAGGACAGATGTTTTCTTGGTATACTATCTTGTCCAAATAAGCATTAACAAAACAGCAAATTTATATTTATAAAAGTTTATAAAAATCTAAAAAAATTGCGTGCACCACGAATCTACTTTGCCAACAGTGAGTAAACTAAAATAGAATAAATGCATTCTTTAAAATTCACTTTGTTTATTATAACAACACTCTGGCGCTAGGTTCACTTAACAGTATTATATTTCATTCATATTATAACTCAGAATGTACAAAATGTATATCATTTAAAGAATTATCTCATCGTTGCCACATGTTCTATTCAAATACTATAATAAATCCTAGAATGATGTATAAAAGAAATTAAGCAAACGACACAAAATAGAAACAGTTTTTCATAAGCGATTTAGTATTTCTCATTCAATTAATTCAGTTCTCACTTTTCTACAAGGCGAAAATACATAAAAAGTCAAAATATCTATATTAAAAATTACAAAATAAATCTTAAACACTTATTTCCTTGAAAGAATCCCAGAAAGGATTAAGCATGATTTAATTCGCAATAATAAATGAAGGCGTTATCTTTGTTGTTGCGAAGCTAAGTTTCTCTAGATTGGCAACAAATCCACTATTCTGTTTCAAATATAAACAAGCAATGGCTGCCATCAAAAGCATTAGGCTTAGCTGCACTTAAACAATGTTTAAATTGTTGATAACTCTACAAATATAATATTGCATGCAGATTTACTAAAGGCGTAAAAACCTTAACCGGAAGATAAGAACAACATAATTCAATCATTTTTAAAGCAAAAAATGTGCGCTTTAGAAACATAAGAGTAAAGAAACAGATCACTGAGTCGATTAACAGAGTGGATATATATATAAATATATTTATATATGTTTGGTAAGGCCAAATTCAACCAAGAGGTGCACATCTACATGTTATAGCAGTCCTATATTCAAAATTCTGAGGCTACTTGTTTTTGAGTTATGCAAGATATGTACATACGTTCATACAGACACCACGAAAAATTCTCTTCTGAATTCATTTTAAAACTTAAAACAGCTTTATAATTTTTTTGGAGGAAAAGAGTCTTATTCTGTTCTTACATACAGATATCACTCAAAAACATTGTTAAATTGCTTCAATAGTGGGGAAAATGGATATTTTCGTTGAGATATGCTGCCTGAAACTTTTCGTGATTACAATTATTCCGTTTTACTTCGTACAAGGAAGTAAAAAGCTGTTGAAAGGAAAATTGAATATTTCATAAAATTTTCTATTTTTCTCCCTTTCCAGTAATGTTTGAACAGGTTTCACATTTCTGGAGGGTAGGCAGATAATTTATATTGCCAGTTTGGACTAAAAATATCAACTATCAACCTAGGCATTTAAACAACCTGAATAAAATGCTGTTGATTGCTAAAGAGTAGATTAGATGTATTCCTCCTCTTTCGAAGCAAAAGTCTCTCCTCCGTCCTTGAACGATTAATCTCTTGATTATTTTTTTATCTGACAATCTAATGTTTGTTTTTCCTAGTTTCATATTTTGCAAATGTTCAGTTATACGTTTGCTAACATTCTGAATTGGAATAATCATGCAGTCTAATTTTGTATTACAGCTTCAGAAAAGGAAGATGAGAAAGAACAGCCAGAAGAGGATGGTGTGAAAGATGCTGATAAAGCAGTGGAAGAGGATGGTGAAAAGGATGCTGAGAAAATTGAAGATGGTGAAAAAGAAGGTGAAAAAACAGATGAGCCTGAAAGTGTAAAACGTAAAGCTGAGGAAAAAGAAGAGGTTGGAGCAAGTCCAAAAAAGGCAAAGTTGGAGGAAGGGAATGAGGTAGAAAAAGCTTCTGAAGAACCAAAAACAGTTGAACCTTGTGCATAAAATTGAATGGACTTCTTGTACATTTCTTTCTGTTGTAAGTTAATTCTGTACATGAGTCAGTGGTTTTATTTTCATTTTACACAAAGCACAGTGGATGGTGCACATGATATAGTTTAAGAATAGCACCCTGAAAGAAAAAATGGCCATTATGATGTTTTTAATTTATTTTCCCAACATAATTTGTCTTTGGTGATTTGATAATTTATGTAACATTAACAGTTGTCATGTTTAGTGTAGTTCTTCGCGATCATTTTTACAGTAAATGTTTTAAACAATTTTTTTTAAGGATAATTTTGTACTATGAGTTTTAAAAACTCATTAAAGCAGTGTTATCACTAAGAATTTTTATGCTATAGTTGTCATTTATGTATATATAGCTTATTCAGAAAATGACAGTCTGTCATGGTAGCTATTGGAGTGTTCTTTTTCTGTCTAAGATTTGTCATCAAATGTTCCATTGTCTTCCGTCATCTGCTAATAAAGGAATTTAATAGTTGACTTTTTCATTTCTTCTAATAATTAGTCACTTTATTATAAAAATTTGAAAGCTTAATTTCAAATTATTTGCTGGTACTGATGGCAAAATCTTCATTTATTTGAACAGCAGAACTTGATATACACTAGCTAATACCATCACCAAAATATGTCAGCATATTTTTATGGATATGAGTAATATATTAAGTGCTGATTGGGTACTGTGACATGCAACTAAAAAAGTACTACAAGAGGATATTTTTCTATTTCTTGGACATTGTGTGTCTGAATGCATTCATATTATATTAAAAAAGTAATGGAGCATTATCGTGTATAAACTTTTTGCAACATATCCAGTTGAAAGAAAGAAATCGTCACAAACTCGGCCATTTAGACCTAATATAAGCATATTAGGCAGGCTGGAACATCGATGGGAAAAAAACCCTATGTGAAGATGTTTGTTCGCATTGCTACAAACATAAGATCAACGACGGAATCTAGTTACTGGTGCTCGATTCGCAAAGTCGCATTGTGTATAGCAGTGCTCCGCAACCTTTTCTCACCTGCGACACACAAAAAAATCTTTCTGGAATTTCGTGGCACACCAAAGAGTTCTGAGTTATTGAGGAAGTGCCGAAAAAATTCAAATGCTGGCACACAACAGTGAAATATATAAAAGCATTATTGAGGGGAAAAAATTGTCATTGTGTATTAAAATACATGATAAAAAATTGCAAAATGTCAAATACATGTATTTGATTGTGGAGCACTGGTGTATAGTACCCTGTTTTACTCAATATCGCTCCACAGCAGGAGTTTAAATTCTTACTTTTATGTGTATAATATTTAATATGTATGTAAAATATGCTTATGTTAACCAAATAAGTAAATATTAGTAATAAACCCATCTTTTTCATCCAATATATTACCAGCGCAACTTGCTCTGTGATTGGCTCGATTCTGGGGACACAAAACGGTGTGCACTCTTAAACGAGAGCACCATAGTTAACTGGTTAATACCATACACACCATTACAGTAAAATTGTCAACACTCTCATGTGGCACACAATGCTCAAACATAATACTTTCTCTTTAATTCTATAAACAGACATAATTTCTTGTTCAGTTCCGCTGTTCAAGTCCCGTAATTGCTGCGGGAATACTGACTAACTTGTCAATCGAAATTTTTTTTGTTTGATGGACATCGAAACATACTTTCGTTTTGTAGATCCTTTGGGAGCTCTAGCATTGGAAATTCTATTTGGCATAATCGAAAGATCAAGTTTATTTTTATAATATTGCTCTTACAGTCTGCAAAAAATAATAAGCCGGATCCAATTCGAAGATTAAAGAACAACGCAATCATCAACATTAACTGAATTAGATAATTTTAGCTACCGTCCGTTATACAAAAAACGCATATGCGCAGTCATAAAGGTCTTAAGGCCAGTTTACATCTGTCAAAGCCGCTCGTCCGGGCGTTTCGAACCGAGTGAACGGACCTGTACTCTGATAGATTGTTTACACCAATCAGAGTGGACTGACAACTCGCCTCCGTTTGCTTACGAAATGGATACCGACGTCGCAGCTGCAGGAAAGAATATGCATTGAACATACAATAGATGTTCTTAGGCTGCAGTGCTTGAAGTCTGCGAAGCAGTTTCAAACGAATTAATTTCTGCTCTTGGGAGGAAAAAAAAATGGGTACATGATTGGGTAGCTTGCCACTATGAATTAGGAGTATCAAATGAACTATTAAATGAATTTCGGACGAGAATGTCCAAAGTTGCAAAAAAGTTATTGCATATCAGATCCTAATTATTCAGAAAATCTTAAATAAATAAGAAGTAGCAAAAAACTTGGGAGCATTACATATATATTACCACAGGTAAAAGAATATATATATTATGACATAGTTCCAAGAGTAAGATATTTATCGCAAATTGTTACTTTTGGATCCTACTGAAATTGTGTTTCTGGACAACACACAAAGTGATATCAACAAAATTAATAATGGGTAAATATAGTGATTATACTTTACTTTTAAAATGCTAAAATGGATAGTTTAAGGAGATTAGAATTCATCTAGCATAATTTGTATAAAAACCTTAATACACCTTCAGTACTTGCACTCACACATCCAAGCTGAACATGTTTCACATCCAAGCGGAATTGTAACGAATTATAGCCCAGAATGTTTATACAAAGCAAGAAATTTAAATATCCCCAATAAAACAGATCTACATATCTTTTTCATTTTTATTTTTATAGTTTATCATATATTTATTGCATCCTCATGTAGGGATGCTTGTAGAAAAATGAATATAAGCTCGCATAATTATAGAAGTAAAACACTTCATAAGATGCTTATGCATTAAAAAATGCCATGGTTTGGCTATCGCTTAATCTCAGATTATAGAACTCATTGTCACGACGTCCCTGCGAACGCTGCTAGGAGTAACTGCCCGGAGATTTTTCAACAGGTTCAAAGTAGAAACGGAAGCGCTGACTCATCTCCCCTACGTTTATACTCCGTCGAAGTGAGCGTTTACATTGTCAAAGTAATCTTAAGGGGCGACTTGCTCCGAGCCGCTCTGACAGGAGAATAGATGATTACTCTTAAAGAACTTGCCTCAGTGAAGTGCTGATAATGTAGAAATCATTGTAAAAAAATTTTTCACTATGGCATGCCCAGTGAATTCGATGAATGCTCTCTCCTGTGGCAGTTTGAAGATGAAGGGAATGCACATTGGAATTCCATAGTGATCGCAATGAAACATAGGTACACTACATTAATGCTGAGCTTTAATGCCACTTAATTCCTACTTGGGAGTCATGCAGTTTGTTGATAGAACTGTCAGTTTTCAAGAATGGATTCACTGCTAAATAAAAATAGTACCGTTAATAAAGGTGCATACAGTTTGTAGAAATGCCATTACCATCAGTCTTCAGAAATAAATTTGTAGCCAAATGAAAATCTTCTATTAAAAAGGCATAAAAATGCTTCCGAAATATTGGCAGAAATGTATCGAATCTGGAGAATAGTAAGTTGAAGGATGACATGTTCAACTCTTCCCTTCCCAATAATAAAGAAAAATACATAAAATTAAAAAAAAATTAGTCCCATTCATTACTGCGATACTGAAGTGTTATTCTGGGACTCACTGTTTAAGCAGTACTTCCCAAAGAAAGTTCAGTGTTTATACTTCCTGATTACTTAAGATTTGGAGCTTTTTGGGTTGATTTTTATCTTCAATTTCCGACACTATTCCGGAATTTAGTCCTGGATCCTTTCAAGATCATGATTCAGACTTCTCAAACAGGTAATAATGGACATGTCATTGGCATAATACACAATCATGGTGTTGTCTCTAAATTTTGGGAAGTCATTTGTATAAATCAGAAAGAGGAATGGAACCTTGGAGGCCTTGTGAAAGAGAGACACAATTTTTTGTCTTACTGAGAAAGTCCTGGTGTGAAGAAATGATGCCAGAATTAGAACAGGAATCTCCATCAGTTCAAGGACAGTTGTGGTAGATTTATTGTGTATTGCTGTTTTAATGAGTTCTGAAATCAGTACTGGTTGGTTAGTAGTTGAAAGACATGTTGTCACTTGTGATTTGTATAGAAAGCAACTTCAGTCTATTGTAGATGATGCATTCTACAACCTTTTCCAGGCATGGAGATGAGGAAGATATTTCCATGCTTGCAAAGTATGATTTTTGTAAGACATAAGTTTAAGGTACTGATCAATTTACACAATGTGGGAGTTTTGTCAGAAGTCTATAATGAAATTGCTTTCATGAGCTTAGGTGTGATTAACAGGTTTTATGTGTAAAGATAATTTATCTAATTTTGAATCCACTTCTTTATGTTCTGATTAGAAACAGTAATTCTTGCAGAATCATTCAGATTGAATTGTTACATCAGATCATCTGCAAAGGCAGCAGCTGTACCTTAATTTCACTATACAAAACCATGGGGAGTTTTAATGAGACAGGAAATGCTGAACTCATGCTTCAAATTTCTGGCGAAATTCTAAAATAAACTGTCATCAAGGTTAAGGTTATCAATTTTTTTTACACCATTTTTCATTTCTGTGCTCATTGATGATGGATTTGATCTCTCTCATAAGCTTATATGTCAGTTTTGAGGGCACAGTTCCATGTTTTACAGTAATATTTTCGAAGTTTATTTCATTCTGCAATTACCCCTCTTATATGTGCAGGTGTATATTTTTTTACTCTGCATATATTTTTTACTGACAATTTTGTGACTTGAGAATAGAAGTCCTGGAGCTTGGAAGTGAAGTTAAGAACAGCTGTATCAATATGATTTGAAGACAAAGTTGCACACAAAGAATGGGAGGTCAAGGTGATACTGAGAAAAAGTTTCCCATCCCTTTCTTCTTTTAGCACCAATCCTCCAATTCTTTTATGACCAATATATGGTCTAATGATAAATTAGTAATTTTCCTCTGGTGACACAGGAGTGCTGATGGCAGAAAGCAAAAAGTCCACAATATCATGATGGTGGCTAGGACATTGGGACAGTAAGTTTCTTCTTCCAGAACAAACATATACATAACATGTTTCTCCCTGAAGTAATTAATTATGTGGCTATTTCTGATTGACCGATGGAAGCCCAATTCATGTGTTTGGCTTATAACTGCGGATGATTAGCGCACCACGATGCTGGAGAAGTGAGTCTAGACCTTTTGTACTCAGGGTATTATCCAGAGGGTTGTACAGGGTGACGCAGGGAAATGGGAAATTTTGAAATAATGTCATTAACAGCCTGTTATGAAAACTGGAATGCGTGGTGTAGCAAATCTTGGGGAATGGCAGTGATTTCTTTTTCAATGTTCTTCAGTTCATGGATTGTTGAAGGACGTGTACGTACACGTTGCCTTTAAGTTATCCCCACAGGAAGAAGTCACACACACTAAAGATCAGGGGATCTCGCAGGCCATTCAATGTCATTGTTACATGAAATAATGCATCTTCCAAACAATTGACGAACTG